AGAGTCAATATATGTTGGCTTCCTATAAACATCTCTTCCTAACTTACCCACTTCTCTAATGACGAGAACGTCCAACCAACCTCCTGGTAATTTCTTTATTTTACGATAAATAGACTGCTACCTACTTTATCTACTTCTGATCTTTTCCCCTACTGTGTTTGACAATGAGTGTTTCACAATTCAAAACTTTCGATCAGCCCTCAAGGAGCCTCATATGTTCTACTACTTCCAACCGTTCAATCCTTGAACATCTACAGTCTATCTCATGTTAAAGTAGACAAGTCTCATTAATTCAAAATCACATACATGAGCATAATCATAGATGTCTATTTACAGACTTTGTACATACATAGGAAGGATTTGTGATCAATCGGTTGCATATCCATAGTTCGCTAGGAATTGTAATTAACTAGCTAAGGAAAAGAGAGGATAAACACAGAGATCGCCATATAATTATGGTTTAAAGTTTGTCCGCAAAAATGGGAAAGAATAGGTGTATAGATTGACAATGGTATTCGGTTGCTATGTTTTAAGATGAATAGTAATTTATTATTGAGAATATCAGCAGGGTAGTCTAAAAAGTTGGTTCTGTTTTCTCTAAAGTTAAGGCCCTTGCTCAAGAAGGAATTTTACATCTTTCTATACCTCAAATAATAGATCTTTCTCATCAATCAGTGAAGCTTAATTACGAAGTGAGGCGAAAACCTTCCATCACTATTAGAGTTTCGCTACGTCTTCAATCCAACCCTCGGATACACATTCACGCAGAACTGCCGTTACTATCTTGTATGGCCATAGTCAACGTCCACATTAATAAGTTTATAAAGATATATGGGTAAACTGGTGATTTTTAAGTATGAACTCTTATAACTGAACCTAATCAGTTAAATATGATGAATTTGCACCGGAACTAAATGTGGGCGCCTTGAGGCTGCTTGAATGCAAATATACCAATAGGATCAAACCAGATTGGGCAATGGAGCAGCCTCCAATGTCCTCTGATGAAACCGAAAAATGAATCATTTTATGCTACATTTTAACAAAAATCAACTGGATAAGTATTTATCGGGTGTCTTACTGGAATCCTGTTTCTTTTCCCAACAGACTGTGGGGTAAATGATTTCCTACGACTGCAGGCCCGACTACGTCCTGCTTTGTCAATGATATTTGTCACTTTGGCACACTTTGGCAAACGTTAGGGTCAGTTGTTTAACTCGAGCGAGTATCAAGGACAGGTAAACTGAAACTCACTGAGTTAATAAAACTTTTGTTTTATTTAGTTTGTTATAATGAAGGTATCGATCCTCATAGTACCAAGTGACTCTTAGTGTAAACCTCAGCTGGAAGGCTGACTTGCTTGAATAATATCGAAATTAAATTAATCTTTCGGGACTTGGATAGAAGACAGACAATCTAACTAGAAGGTTTCTGACGAGTATGCCAAACATAGCTCTGAAAATTTGATTTGCTGATATTGCATTTGCTTTTCCATCCATATCACCCGATAGATGTATGTACAGACTGAGCCACTAAGCAGAGGCATACTGATACGGGTACATATGTAGACTGAAATGCTTTACTTTGGGGCGAAAGTTGACAGCTCCTTATCTGGGATCCCTGTTCCCTCGGCGATTGAAAGCTGGTGAAGCAAGAGCCGCTAGCAAAGCATCTGCACTTAGACCGACCAGGGAATAGCCGGTCTCGAAATCCTTAAGTGACTGGAATAGTCGGCACAGTAGACAACCACACATAGGCTTATTTGCGAGCATATATTCACACGGCGATACAGGGTTCGTTGCTTCTGATGAATCTAAAGCCGACAAACACTGCAACCGTGATTTAATGATTCGAATGGGGGTTATCCTCAAATTGTTCGTGTTCTGCTTGTGTCTAATTATGCAGCTCAATGCATTTCTGACAGGACACCAGTTGAAGGAATGGGGTCGGTCTGGCCGGCTGACTGACCAAAATCTCTCTCAGCAGTTGGGGCGAAGTGTTTTCCCACTCTCCGAGTGTCTCTCGGGGTACAAGAGCCGTGTATCCTACCGAAGAGCGTCTGCATAAAGTGAGAGGTGAAAGAACTTGCTTCACGAGCAAACTTGAGTTGAATGCCCATGTATGTCAGTCAAATAAGTGATTGAAGCAAGGAACACCCCAAATGTATGATTCATTTTGGGTGGTGTTATTTGCATATACAGTCTTTGGTTGGGTTATTGAATAGTCTACCAACCCTTGGCAGGATAGTTAGGACAGACGAAGAGGAAAAAAGTATAAGTACTTTTTGACTCATGTATCCAAGGTGGTCAAGTAGAGACCGTAAACTCTTCTCTCTTAGTTTCCGTCTCTAAAGCTGTGCTCTAATTATTGTAAAAAAAGTACCAATTAAGATGGATAGACGAGAAGCTGCTTGCATACCTACAAATTTGTGCATTCATGAGTCAATTTCTTCGGTTATTATATGTTTATCCTGGCGCCAAGCATAGCAGCAACATTTTGGCTTCTCTGCAAAATAGTTTGGGAAGTAAAGGTACCACACGTTTTCCGAAGCTGGTGGCTTCCAAAGCGGTAGATGACTCTGCTTGAAGATTGCTTGTTCTTTTGAATTGGCAGAATCAAAAATTAAGAGAATCAGAATGTCAGTAATCTTCAACTCATATCTCATTATGCAAGTTTATGCAACAAACGGCCACCAAGTCGACCCAAGAATAAGCCGACTATTCTTGTAGGGACCAATAATTTGCCATCCTTAAAAGTAATTAGAATAGTTGAAATTATCCATTCCCATTGTAAATGCAGTTTGAGAGAGACATTGCTTGTCTCAAAGTCGCATGTGCCCTGTGAACATCTAGTACTGATGACTGTATAGTGAACTGGCATGGTATCACCCGATGAGCACAATCCAATTTCGAATCCCATTTGGTGTGGTAGTGTAACCAAGGTAGGTTATAATCTGTAGTCAAGATAATAAAATCTTTTGGAGGTAGCACTAATTATGACTTAATGGCATCGTGAGGCCTACTTACTTAACTGTAGGAAAAACTTCACTATCAGTCCTTTAGTCATCGTAAACGACCCAAGACGAGTAAGCGTGTATTGATATAGCAAGACACTAATGATGATAACAATATTAACTCTGAGGATAAAGATGTTGATGCTAATGCTGATACAATTACTGACACTACTACTACTACTACTACTATTACTACTACTACTACTATTACTACTACTACTACTACTACTGCTAATATTTATTATTATTATTATTATGACAATTACTTTTACTATTAATAATGCTGATGACGATGGTTATGGTGATGATTACTACTATTATTTTTATTATTACTACTACTATAATAATGATAGTAACAATATTAATAATAATAATTATTAATTACAAGTGAGGAAGCAGATTTTCTGATTACGGAGTAAAATTTCCCCTTCATTCCTCGTGGACGGAGGAAATGTCATCTTTTGCAGCTTCAAGTTGACTAACCGTGTGCATTTGACCTGATCGAAATCCAACATCCGGTTCCATCATTGTACATTTATTGAATTCGATCGCTTCGCTGTGTGCACCTACCGACGATACGGGACTCAGATGGTTGTACAATTGTGGCAACAGTTAACACAACAACAACAACAATAATAGCTAAGGTATTTGAGCGTCACTTGTCCTAGCTAACTTGGACTGGTTACAGTTTTATCCACGTAACTACTGAAAATTAGCAGATTAGATGCTATTTTTCCTGCGTTTTTCACAAAACTTCACTCTTGTGAGCTAAGTGAAGGTTTGCTATATCAAAGCCGATGTTTACGACTACTATGATCTAGCCTCATAATCACCCGGAGTGCCATTAAGGCTAAATTGGGATCATTTTTGCTTAATAACTTAATAGCATTAACAACATGCAAAGGTCTTCTGGTTTCCTATTAAAGTGATTGACAAAGATAACCTCGCTAATGTTAATTAGTGGCCGAACCTTGCGATCATATCTGCAACATAGAGCCGCCTTTGATGCAGACGAGTACCGATTCAACCTTGCCTGAGGGCAACATTGGAAACTGGAGGTTGCGGTGATCAACGTCGCTTGCCCCAACAAAATGTACCCTTAGACTGACAGACAAACTGAAAGTGGCCACTATCCTAACGGTGTGTGTTCAACAGATTTGGTAGGAAGTAACGGGCTATCCCAATAATGGGCAGCAGTACAGTTACATGCTCTAACGGTTCGTGTATAGGCGCCGATAGGCAGGTGAACCGAATGAAATGATTGATGCATTGTTCCACTGCCAGCTTGTCAGTATTTGTACATACCAACATGTATCTATGACTGACCTCATTGCCATCACACGAATAGGGTAAGATACGTGCAACCGAGGCTCAAGGACGCAAGTCTCCATCGGTCTCATTTTACTCCTTGAGGAGTTGTCTCAGCTTCATATATTAGCTCTAAAATAAAAATTATCATCAATAATGATTTTCGAAAATCGGAAACTATCGTATTTGCTGCTAGCCTACACCCGCCACTACAGTCTCTACGTCCGGGATTTATTTTTTACTCACGTTGAAACTGCGTGCCAAGCCCAGATGAGTAGTCGCCTCCGCTCCACTTCTCCACTCTTCTTTATGCGAAAGCATTTTATTTAAGCTAATTCCTCAGTTATGCACCCCGTCCACTTTTAAACGACCAACTTGTCAGTAGATTCAATCCTGGGTAAAATTCCTACGGGAAATGTCACTTAGCCATTCGATTTGGATAAGTTGTCGGTAGGGTTTATAGTCAGTATTGCAAAGTGTGTGCTTAAAAGACGCTTGGGGCAAACTGCCGTTTCTATAGTAACGCATAAATTGGCCAGAAATAATGCTGTTGAACTCATTTCCATTTCGAATGACGAAGTGTGATAAAGAGGGATCCAAAGATCGATAACACTAAAAGAGGATGGCAGATTTCACTTGTCCAGCTACCTGTTGTCTTTACTAGAGCATTCTTGCTGGTGCTGCCCCGGAGGTAATCCCCTTAGATTTCTATGAAAATCTGTTCAGCTCTCGTCATTTGTATCATTCCTAAAACCATATTCAAGCTAACTAGTCAAGAAAATTCACAGTGTCAGTAAGAACGTTTTTGTAAAGTCAACCAGTTTCAAATGGAGTCGGAATTGGGATCTCTCTTCACACATTTTTACTCAAAATCCCTCTGACTCCAACTTTTATTCAAATCTATGGATTCCATAGCAACTTACTGACACATGTTTTTGCATGTGTTACACGTTTCAGATGATCACAAACCTGCGTTAATTAGCCTCCTGCTCACTCTCGCTGCCTCAAACCGGCCTGCATTAAACACGCCGAAACTATTAGTTTCGGAACATACTTCCGCCAAATATAAGTAGTATCATCAATTGTTGTGTCAGAAGTATATTGCCAAGGTTGACAATTCCATTATAAAAGTTTGGTTCAGAAAATACTTGACTTTCCTTTAATGTAAAGTGGACCCTGTATTCCTTTGATGTCCATGGGTGTGTAGCTGAGTGGTATTGTTTTGTCGTGATAGGAGATACTCGGTTTCAAATCTCATTGGACATTCCTATGTGGCTAAGACGAGGTAGAGGCTACAGCTTTCCCTGGATGCGTCATGCTTTTTGATGAAAGTAGATATCATCGTTGTGCCTATTCGTAGCATTATGGGAGCAACTCTAGTATCTTCCTTTAAATCACCTAAAGTGACCTAAAGTGACTAAGTTCATATGCGATTATTATCCTTCTGTTTTGCTTCGTATTTGTCAATTTAACCTCTGTGGGAACGGCCGAACTTAGTGTGAAAATTAGTCCATTTGTGGTAAGTTCATCGACTCGAAGGTTGATATTGGATCCCGAAAGAAGGTATTTATAACCTTCTGGGCATACGGTATGTCGAAAAGTTCGTTTCGTCCACAAAAAGAGCAGAACGAATGAAGCCTTGAGGCAAGAATTGTGTTGTGCCCCTTCGAGTTGGCAATGCAAATGTAAAGGCTGGCGTTTGTTGTTGAAAGAGTCCTTTGGATGGCTGCCGACAGCCCTCTCATCGGCTTCAGGCTCAGTGACTCGTGAGGCCTGTAGAAATGGGAATGGTTCGGCTTCTACGCCTGAGGCGAGACAAATGAGGCTGTGGTCAGCTGATCACTTGCATACGTCAAGACAAAATGTGTGCTGGCCTAAATGGAAGGGTCATATTGTGTAGGATGGATTCAAGGAAGAGGTCGAGGTTGCTGGGACGATAAATGACCTTAAAAACCCGATCTAAACAAGACGATGACGTTGCAGAAATCACACAAGCGCGTTGTGATGCCTACTAGTACTTAGGGTGTGTGATACTGATGATTAGCCAGCATGTATCTTTAACTTTATGTGAAAATGTAGGTCGTGAAATACCGAGTTTTTAGGATGTCTTCAATGTTTCAGTCTAGTCACCGCAGTTCGCTTAAGGTGATTTAATGACTGATGGTGGGTAAATCTCCAAAATGACATCGATAGTCCTCATCGTGCCGTTGACTTTCGCATAGCCTTGCCTCCCAAAAACAGTTTCTCATCAGGTCGCAACTGCCGTCTCAGCCTCAGCTCGGTCCTCTCAGTACCCATAAAGGGATTATAAAAAGGGTCGTGCACATCTTAGTGGTATAAGGCCACTTATCGACACTCACTATACACGTGAATTATGGTGGGTCTGACTTAACTTTTAAAGTAGCATCCGTCCTGTGACCCACTGGTTGGTGGTGCCTTGTTGCAAAGTGATTAAGTGACACCACGAAGCACAAAAGCCGGTTTTAAATCTCATTGAGGGTGCTTAGAAGAGCCGGAAGAGATTGAAGCTGCAGTCTCGGCACGATAAGGTAATCTCTTTGGAGGCAAGGTAAGTGAAATTTAACGGCATCAGGGAAATTTGGCCAAGAAACTTCAA